AGTTGGACTTTTTAAAGTGAAAAAAAGGTCCTTTGAAATGAATCTGATTTTTTTTTTGTAAGGTAGCTGATTTTATACTGTTTTGGTTTTCTTCTCAGTCTTTTTTGTAGTTCTTATTTTCCTGTATGTGTTTGTTATATATTGACATTACTCAGCTGTTTATTCTCTTTTTATATTTGTACTAAAAATTTAGTTCATTCCAGTGATTTCATTGTACCTCTACATATTCTGATCACCCCATCATTAGGTCCATCGCTGTATAACCAATAACCATCAAACATCTACTTTTCGATAGCTCAGAAGTATACTAAACTTAGCATTTTTAGACGAAAATTTGTAAAAGTTGGTGGATTTCATTGCATCATCTGTATTTGTTCTTTCTAAAGCCAGAAACCTAAACAAAACAGGATACTTTTTCCCCCCAACTATCTCACCTGTATTAGTAGTTCACTAAGCATAAACACTAATGCATTGAATTTGAGTTTTCTTTAAAAAAGTAAATATTAGTTTGGGAATTGAGCTGATCAACTATTAAGTTATTTTACATTGGTTTTCAAAGGGAAGTTTCAGTCAAAAGTATTTGAACTTTAGGATGAACCCTTTAGAGTTTTGGCAAGATATGAAGCCACTTCAGTCCTCAGTTTTTTAAGCATGTGAGTTAGACTTATTTGATAGCTGCTTTTTCCTCCCTCCCTTTTCCTCTTTTCTCTTGAGCTAATTATTTTAGCCTTCTATGCAAGGATACAATGTCAGGTGTGTTTTAATGGCAGATAAGGTCAAAGGACGAAATGTGTTAGAAATTTTGGTGGAAAGTTTCTGTAGCTTGTGGTAATGGGTTCTATAATAATAATTAGTAAAGTGAATTGTGATCTTGGTATTGCGCATTTCAAAGTTATCTGTCACTTTACAAATTTGGTAGGACTCTAAATTTTATTTTTTTTTAATATAAAATATCTATCTAAAATTTCTGGAAAATCTATTATATGTAATTAGCATACAAGCTAATGAAAAAAATTCAAATTGCTAGACATGCAGACTGAGTACAAGGAATGAACTTGTAGTAGGCTCTGAGCATCTTATCAGACTTTCATTTTTCTGACTTGTAACTATCACCTCTGATACTTACATCTCCTAATCTAATATCATGTCCTTTATAGCCTTTTTATAATATCTTTTCTGTACCAGAAAAATCTGTGAAAAGGAAATTTATAAATCAGGAATCTACTTTTATTCATTGAAAGTTATTTTAGATTTCACTGTAATTTTGCTGGATAAAGTATTGCAGCTGGGTACTACTGAAGGACTAAAGAGGATTTTGTCGGGGGCATGAGACAGTACAAGGAATTAAAGGCCTTGCATATGCTAAGAACTCTACCACTGAGCAGTATCTTCGCTTTAAAGGCAAATTTGAAAAAGGAGATTTTCTGCATTTGGATAAAAACTTTAACAAGTGATATCCCTGATAATACTTCTCCACAACACTAATGCTTTTGGTCTGTATCTCTGAAATACTCCCATTGCATTTAGTTTACTACTACTATCACACTCAGAATGAGTATTACAATATCTTGTCAGAAATGATCAATAAAGCTTGCTTTGTCATCAGTAAAATTAGGGGCAAATGTTCATAGCAGCACAATTTATAATAGCTAAATCGTGGAAACAACCAAGATGCCCATCCACCACAGAGTGGATGAAAAGATGTGGTTTTTTTTTTTGTTTTTTTTTTTTTTTTTTTTGTCTTTTTCCTTTTTATTGGTACCGGGGATCGAACTCACGACTGCCTGCTTCCAAGGCAGGTGCTTATGCCGCTGAGCTAAACCTCCAGCCCCCAAGATGTGGTATTTTTATACAGTAGAATATCACTCAGCTATAAAAAAGGATGATCTTGAGGCCTTCATAGGCAAATGGAGACAACTTAAGGCTATCCTCAGTAGTGAAATAAACAAGAATCATTTATAAATATCACATTGTAAAAATTAATAAGAAATGTAGGAGTAATAAAATCCAAAATGTGTAATTGCTATTGTAAAAAAGAGAAGAAAAGAAAGTGCTCTAAAGGATATAACTGCATGTATGTTTAAGTGTGTAGGATCGATAACCATATTACTATGTTTTTGTTGGATAGTTGAACAGAAATGTTTGCAGTCTCACTATTTAAATGTCTACTTTGTATGCTTTACTTTTGAAACTTGAACAACTATTTCTAAGTGGACAATATGTAATTTATCAACTAGTGATTTCTTTTTTTCAAATTATGTATTATTTATATCCTTTATCTGTTTTTTTCTTTAAATAAAAAAAATTAGGAGTAAAAACAATGTGGCTTTTATTACCAAGATTTAGATAGTACTTACAAACTCAGAAATTTAAGAGTAAAAGTAACTATTTTTAAATTTTTATTTATTATTTTATATTTCTTTTAAACTATGGAATAAAAATAAATCTGATTAACATTAACAAAGAATCTTAAAACTAATAAATTTTCTTCAATTATCTTGTCATAGGTTGGTAATAAATAGTTCAAGGAATCCCTCTGAGTAGTTCTGTGCTGTAGAGTGTTGAAAGCTTCAATTTAAAGGATAAATAAGAATATGAAAATATTTGAAATAGAGTATGTGGCACATTTGAGAAACAGAAGAGTCCGGTGTGACTTAAGCATGAAATGTAAACTTCAGACAAGTGAGAAACTGGAAAAGGAAGCAAGAAACCTGAAGGCTGTTTCATGGAGGAATTTAAACTAGTGTTCTCCAAATTTTGTTACATGCCTGTGTTGGTATGTACGTTTATTTATTATACTATTTGACAGGATTCACAGTACAATCCTATAAAAGTAATAAATAGTATAAAAATAGTACAGAAATGGATAAAAGACTAGTATTTAAATTTTAATTATGGTACAAAAGTCACAAAATTCTTTAATTTTCACTACATCTTCATTACTTCTTAATACTTTGGCTGTGATACAGAGATTTAAAGTGTATATTTGGTTTTTTAATAACTCACAGCAGATGTGCCTCAATAAGTATTTGCATTTCTTAAAAGTGTCATTTTATGTCTCAAAATCAGCATAAAAATTTTCTTTTTGAGATTGGATTTAATTGTGTTTTATCAGTTAAACAACCATATGAACATCTCTGTAGTTACCTAGTTGGTTTAATTTTTTTCATAAAATTTCCCATCCTCAATCTTACCTATCTTGTTAGTTTTATTTAATCAGATAATAATTTCTAAAGTCCATTGAATAGACATTCAGATTACTGTAATATACAACTTGAATGTGAACAAAGCATGATTGATGCAACCTGACATTAAAGAAGGAATGATTATTAATCTATTATTTATGAACTATAAACATCTCAGTGTTTTTTAGATTTAAAAGGTAAATATAGTACAGATTCCAATAATTACCTCCTGAACTCCAGTAGATGATCTAGTGTACAATCCTGCAATGGAGACTGCCAGTTTAGAACTCATTTAAAAATAATGGGAACTATCTGAAAATACCTATCCCTATTCCTGTCAATATACCACTGCTGTTTAAAACAGCAGAAATGAGATATACAGGGTCACCCACTTGGAACCCAAGTTCTTTCTTTCAATAAATACTTCCTACTCTATAAAAGAAAAAAATGAGGTATACTTTTATCCCTTGTAAGTAGCATCATCACTAGTCCAACCTAGATCAGATAAGTTAATAAGCCTCTAGTAAGCCTCTAAAATACCTCTCGATGAGCCCTGCTGCCTGCTATTTATACCTTGTGTAATGCCCTCTCTCATTGTACCAGGCATACATGGCCAGTGGAATAAGGTAGCTGTTTGATATTGTGTCACTTTTGAGACTGGGTTGTGATAGACACTGCTGCTTCTGTCTTGGATACCCTGTCACTTTTTCTGTTGCCTTGTGGTCAGCAGCTCAGTGGAAGGGTCCACATAGGGAAGAATTGAGGCCTCTGGCCAACAAGCCGCAAAGAACTGAGTATGTTTGACATCAACCATGTATCGAGTTACAAACCCCTAAATCAACTATCCAGCTAAGCTGCTTCTAAACTCCTTTCCAACAGAAACTTTGAGATAATTGTGTGTCGTTTTTAGTCTTTTGGGGTAGTTTTTATATTGTTACAGATAATATAGCAAACAAGAAACAAATTAATTTGTTACATCAAAAATTAAAAACATTGACATGCACTATTAATTCAGAATGTATAAATTCATGTTTGAGTAGCTTTTCACCCAACCATTCTGTTTTAAAGTATGAAATGATAAATATTATTGAGAGTAGTTTTACATTACCTACATGTATACTTTCAAGGAAAATTATACAACTTTCTGTAATTCTTTTTTTCTATCCTAAATATACTTCTTTATGAGTTTAGATCTACTTAAACATTTTGACATAATTTTTTTTCTTTTTTACTTTTTATTTTCCAGAAGTTCGTTTTTAAAATTTTGTCATTCAGATACATTAGATATGAGAGCTTTTTAAAAGAAAAATGGAAGGTCAAGTAGTTTTTCTAATGGATCATCTTAGGACAGTTTTGGTGAACCTATGGCACACATGCTGCAGTGGGCTGTTTGTTGTCATTGAAAGTTCTGAAAGGTTTGCTGTCACTGGTGTAAGAGATCTCTGTCGTAATTCTTACAGAAGTCTACACTGATCTGATCGTGATGATCATATGGCTGTGTTATGATTGCCTTTCTTGTTAAACTGAAAGCTCTTTGGAGGGCAGAGTCTTGGTTTGCATTTGCTGTTAATATCTTCAGTACCCAGAACAATGTCTGATACTTAACAGATAGTCTGTGAATATTGATTAAAAGAATTAATGTTCTTTTTACATTTTTTCAATATGTTGGAACAATGGTTAATTTCTACAGTTGTAAACAGATCATTTTTTATAACCATATGTCCTTTAGAAATGTTGTTTGTACTGAACAGAAAATATTCTTGGTATTTTTCTTGTACTAGGAGTTTTTATAAATATGTATCTTTATTTCTGTAGCACAACCACTGCCTCTGAAGATGATGTTTCAAATCGATTTCCCCGGACAGACAGAGGTGGATTTGGTAGATATAACAGAGATACAAATATTGCAAGTAATCTGGTTTCAAGTAGCACATTGGAAAAGAAAATTGAAGATCTTGAAAAGGTATGAATTATAAATTACTGAAGATTGATAAAAATGAACATATCAGAATACTTCTTTCAGTTACATAGTAGCCAGGGGAGAGAATAAATATATGTAGGGGAGAGAAATTGCAAATAAAAGGAAAAGAAGAGGGCCCTAATGGAAGGTAGTACTGTGTTAAAGGGTTTTCCAGGTAAAGTCAAATCGCAGCTTTTAATCATTGTCTTATGTATTTAGTTTTTAGAGACGTAGTAATTAGGTATTTTCTGATTAATGTTAAAAAACATTTCTTACAATGTTTAAAATTTTAGAAATGGACTAAATTTTTGTATTCCTTAATATTTAATGGATATTCTTTTTCTGCCAACTGTTATCTTTTTGTGTTGTACAGTCTTTTTGAAGTGTTTAGAAAACTGAGCTAGCAATGTGCGCTACTGTGTTTCCTTAGTGTGCACAGATCTTTTTCAATAGACTTCCCATGGATTCAGACTTAGGTCTGTATTTGGTGTTTGAAACAGTTTTATTTAAGTATAAACTTGGTTAGAAGTATTTTTGAGAATAATTTAAATGATTATTAGTCCTAAGCTTATTCCATAGATATTCAGCTTCTAAAATTACTAATGGCATTGAATTACTTTGTTAAAAATGTTTCATTTTACCCAATTGAAATTATTCCCAGTGATATAAAGGTTGTTTTAAGTAGAGGTTAATTTAAAAAATGGTTTATTATGGGACTAGGGGTTTAGCTCGGTAGCGTCTTTGCAAGTGCAAGGTGGTGAGTTCAATCTCCGGCACCAAAAACAAAAAAAATAAAACAAAAATACTTATTTTTGCATTATGATTATTTTTGGATCACACTTAAGCTTTAATACTCATTTCTACTTGGGATCTTTATTTATGGGTTTAAATTGAAAATTGTAGCATATACACAGCTTATGGTTTTCAAGAGAGTTTTTGGCTTCTGTAGTTTCAGAAGCGCTTAGGATTGAATTGCTAGTGGTTCACGTCTTTTTCTAAGGGCTAGTAGGAAAGACGCCAAATCCTGTCCTAGGCCTTTTCAGCTCTTTCTTCCTGTTGCCCCCAAGGTGGCCTACCCCATACACCACCCTGAATTCTAAATAAGATTTTTTTTTTTTTTTTAAAAGAACAGTGTTGCCTTTTGGAGGAGTGGTAGCGGAGGGCAGGGTTGCAGGGGATTGCAGTGCTGAGGATCACACCCAGGGCCTTGTGAATGCTAGGCAAGTACGCAGATGTTGAGCTACAGCCCCAGCCTGTGCTGCTGCATTGCTTTAAAAAAAAGAAAAGTTCAAATATTTAAAAAATGATCTATTTTAGCTTCTTCTTTTTGTCAGTTGTCAAGTTAACTAACAGTCAGAAATAGAATTGTTTTTCACTTTAGAATATTCTGTTGAAACCACTAAGCCACCTTGAACTTTATACTTCTAGTAAATTTTTCAAATTTCTTTAAATAAGACATTGGTCAGTTTTTTTAAAAAGCTAGTTTATAACTTGTGGTGGTATAAATAAGTCATTGAATCTCGTAGTAGATATTAAAGACGTATAAATATGAATTTAATGAGGGGCATATTTTATAGCTCTTGTGTTTTCCTCATTCTTTAATTCATTAGTGCTATGGCTTCTTTACCTTATCAGGTGACATATTAAGAAACTCACTAGAACACTTCATATATCTAAGATATGCTTTATTTGTTTTTCCTAAGACTGAGTTTGCTGTTTCCAAGAGGAGCCTCAAACTTGTGAGCTTGGTGATATTCCTGCTTCACGCTTCCCAGTTGTGCCAGTGCAAGGGATCTTTTTAAAGGAGAATGTTTGACTTTTTCTTTTAACTTACAGATATTTTAAATTTTTGCTATTTTAAAAATTAAATAAAGTCTGTTTTTAAAAAAACACCATCCTGACAGTGATACTTTCGATGTCAAAATACTTCAGCAATGTTTGGAATCTGTCACTGTTGCCTAAAATTGTATACCATGTAAGAAGATTATAAACAACCAATTACTTCCCAAGTAACGCTTTGTAATTTTGCTTACCAGGAAGTTGTAAGAGAAAGACAAGAAAATCTAAGACTTGTGAGACTGATGCAAGATAAAGAGGAAATGATTGGAAAACTCAAAGAAGAAATTGATTTGTTGAGCAGAGTAAGTATTTCATTTATTTCAGTTCTGAAGCTTCCTTTTGGGAAGCAGTTAAATAAAAATATACACTATAAAGAAATTATTTAATTGCACTGTTCAGTTCTTTGGTTAATGTGATAATAGTTTGCAGTAGGAGCTATTCTGTAAACTGATTTCCTAGAGGCTGTGATCAGTTTAACTTAATTTTACCCATTTGGAGATGGGCTGGTGAATAAACTTATTAAGAATATAGAGGTGTAGGGGCTGGAGATTTAGCTCAGTGGCATAAGCACCTGCCTTGCAAGCAGGCGGTCGTGAGTTCAATCCCCGGTACCGATAAAAAGGAAAAAGACCAAAAAAAAAAAAAGAACATAGAGGTGTAAGGGAATTGACACAAAATTGCATCAGTGAAGAATGTGTACTTTTTCACTAAAAGGAACTCCAGATTTTTTTGTGTGTATATTTTTCACTACTTTTTTTCTCCTGTTGTACTTAATACATTGGTTCTAAGCTTTATATTAATATTATTATTTTTATTTCATAGCTCTCTTTTTCTTTGTTTTGTTTTCATTCCCAGAATTTACTTGTGGCTTAAAAAATAAATCATATGCTAATAAGAGAAGATCTTATAATTTTGCTTTTTAGAGGGCTGTTCATGAGATGAAAGGGAGAAATAAGCAGAACCCCCAATGCAATCTTAATTCTAATCATGAAAAAAGAAAGGATAAAAGCTTTCTTTATATGCAGACCTATTTTAATCAAGCTCTAAGACAGTTGGAAGTCATCACACACTTGTGATATCAGCACTCTGGAAGACTGAGGCAGGAGAAACACAAATTTAAGTCCTACTTGAATAACTTAATGCCTTAGCAAGACCCAAGGTAAAAAGTAATCAAAAGGGTTGGGGATAGCTCAGTGTGACATTAAGTTCAATCCTTAATACAAGGATTAAGTTCAATCCTTAATACAAAAAAAAGACTTCAGATTTGGGTAGCTTTTCATCCTGGTTCAACACTAGCATTCCACTGTTTGTATTAGGATTCACTGTGAACACTAAAAATGAAACTTTCCCTTAGGGAGTTTATAATCTAGTGTGCTCCATGAATGTTTTTTATACATAATTCTAAATTTTAGGTAAATACAGTTTTGGTGATTTCAGGAATTACATAGTTTTTGTTTCAACAGATTAATTCCTAACATCATTCATTTAGTTCATAAGTAATTTGCAGGGCCCGGGATTTAGCTCAGCGGTGTAAGCACCTGCCTGGCAAGCGTGAGGTCATGAGTTTGATCCCCGGTATCAAAAACAAACAAAACAAAAAGAACACTAGTCATAAATAAATACAAATTCTGATTTTGGTAAACTTTTACATCATTTTGTACTGAATTTACCAGATTGCTTTTATAACATATTTGTGATTCAAATTGATTATCTCAAGTTTCAGTATTGTAAGTTGCAAGGATAAATCTGTAAATATCTGCTTTTGTAACAATTATAAGTACTCTGCCTTGAAATAATGTTTCTCATAACTAAAGCTTATAATAGGTTATTTTAATATTAACCAGACATTGCATATTTGAGGCCAGAATTAATGCAAGGAAAATAAAGCTGGGTCCTATCCTTTAGAGCAGGATAATGAATGTCTACTTTAAAGACTTTCAATTTTTTAGTTGGCTTTAAAATCTTTTCCTTAAATAAAATGTCATGAAGAAGCTTAATGTATACTTTAAACTAGATGGGTTCTGTGTGTCCTAGATCCCTTTTTGTGACTCAGTTCTGTCATCTTCTCAGTCTCATCCCCAATTACTCTTTGAAAATCACATACAGTAGTAAAAGTACATCCAGAACTTGTATCTGTATAGTTTTGTACAAAATTGCAGCCTGCATATGGCCTGTATGTGGCTGTGTTTGGCTCTTAGTTTTGGGGAGGGGGAGTGAAACAAAACAAAATTAAATTATTTATCATGATTAAAAATGGAAAGATTCACAATTTTAAAATCCTGACTTCTAGCTTTTCTTGAAAAGCTGAAAGATCCGACAAGAATTGGTCTGTATGCTTGTGGTAACAATAGGAAGTCGAGTAATGGCCGTTTACTTTAGGTAGGACATACTCCATCTAGTTATTTTCAGAGCTTATCCTTATTTCATAATTAATGAAGAGAATTTTCTTCGTTTGTGCTTTTATCTCCTTGAGAATATTTTTAAAGTATTATTTTTCCCTTTCCCCCCCCTTTAAGGACCTAGATGACATAGAAGATGAAAATGAACAGCTAAAGCAGGAAAATAAAACTCTTTTGAAAGTTGTTGGGCAGCTGACAAGGTAGAAGATTCAAGACCCAATGTGGATAACAAAAAAAAAATTTTTAAACTACTGATTGAGTGTTATGGTTAATGCTAGGATAATATTCCTATGCTGCAGTACATTAAAGTAACTATGTATATTTATTTCTAGAAAAAGGTTTGTGTTTATTTTCAAAATATTTCCTTTGCTTTATTACTTTGAAAAAAGTATCAAATCTTTTATTTCACAAATAAGTAACATCTCTTAGTTCATTAAAATGATAGGTAATGCCTCTTTTGGTTTCGTGTGGTGTTCAAATAATATATAGTTTAAAGACACAACTGTTTGAGTATATTTTATCTGTGTTGATGCATTTTCACCCTAAAAGAATATTCATAGTCTTTGTTTACATGAATTTAAATACTCTAGGGGAATTACCTACAAATGCCTTATTACTGATGTGTGCAACTTTATGTGAAGACTTATTCATAGAGGTCTGTGTCTACTGTCATTTAATCTTCCCACTTATTCTAAGTGATTTATAGTAATAAGTAATAATCGCACTATTTTGTATAACAGTAATCTTTTAAAGGAAAGCTATTATAAAAAGTTACTTAATATCATGTTCTAGCTGGCTAAATATAAATTTAAGTAAATACTTGAATTGTGCTATAGTAAATGGAAATTTACTATTGTGTTTGAATACTGAAAAAATTTTCAATTACTCGTCTGAAAAACACGTTTGTAATTTTAATGTATAATTTCTTACGTAGGTACTACTTTTGTTACATTTATTAGCAAATATGAGATATTCAAAAGTTTATTCAGTGCTTGAAAGTGGTACAATATCAGTGATTAAGAAGAGAATTCATTTCTGTATTATCAAATGTATTACATTCTGAACCAAAACCATACACTTAAAACATTTGTATGTATATATTAACAAAGCAATATGTAAGCAAAAGTAGCACTGAAATAATGTTGCCTAATAATTTCTAAGTTGGAGAAACACTGTGACACAGTTTTTCTCATACGAGAGAAATTCCCCTGTCCCAATTTTAAGGGATTTTTCTTCCTAACACTGAACCTTTAAAAACAATGATTTTTGAAGAATTATAAAAATATTCTCACCTATTAAATATTCTTAGTACAAGTTGTTTTATATTACATTTTCCTATTGAATAAGAACCCATTTCCTCTCTGGGTGTTAAATTAAGAAATTTCTGCCTGGTAGTGAACCTTAGGTAGCAATAGTGATACCAGTATATGGGTTCAGTGTATGGGAGTGGCTTGACCATCAAATCCAATTGGAGTTCCCTGCTGATTCTTTTACCTTCACTTGCAAAGCTTATGCATTCACTCATTCATTCACTCACTACTAGGAAAATATGGAAGGTACGACCAGTAGGGGAAAATGTGGCGTAGTGCTAAACATCAGATGTTAAATGGAAAAGTACCTGCATTCACTTAAGACTAGTTGTGTTCCTCTGCTCCACATTTTAGAAGTTTCAAAATTGGCCAATCATCAGAATCATTTGAAGATGGCTTGGGATATGGCTTAGAGGTGTTGCCTTGCACACACAAGGTGCTAGGTTTAATTTCCCAACACTGTGTATGTGTGCGTACACACACACACACACACACACACACACACACACACCCCAGAATCATTTGAGGAACTTGAAAAGAATCCCTGGCTGTAGCTGCTCAGTAGGTTTAGGTTGGGAACTTAGACTCAGGAATTTTTAAAGATCATCATTTTAAATGAATAATTCTGATCATGTAATTTAGTTTTGGAATTAGCTACTTCGTATGTTTATTCTTGTATTTTCTATTGATGACCCTGGAATTGACAACTTTACCCCATTTTTCTCTTTTAATCTAATAATTAGCATTATGTCTCCCAAAAAGTTTAATATTAGATTACAGAATTACTACACAAGGGCTTTCTTTTTTCTTTGAGGCCTTTACCTAGCACTGGGACCGTGCACTGCTGCCCACAGATCTGGGTGGTACACAGGCTCCTCACCTTGGCTGTAAGGTGTTCATCTCAGTTTAGTTATCCTTAAGTATGTAGCAGAAATGTCTCTATTATCTGCTTCCTCATTTACTTTTTGTATATTTGAAAATGCTACCAATATCCATTCTTAAAATATATTAGTGTATTTTTTCATTAAAAGAATTAGTTTGAATATTCTTTTTAATTCAAACATAGGTAAACATTTTGCTTTTGAAAAATGTCAGGTATGGGGGCTGGGGATTTAGCTCAGTGGCATAAGCACCTGCCTTGCAGCAGGCGGTCATGAGTTTGATCCCCAGTACTGATTAAAAAAAAAAAGTCAGGTGTGAACACTTGTAAAGACTAAGTTGTTTTATAATTTTTCCCTATCTTTGGTTTATTGAGATTATTTCCAGAAATAGTTTTGCTTTTGAATGCAATGATACCAGTAGCAAATACAGAAACTTCACAGTTTAAGGAAAGTATTTATATCAGTCTTTAAGGAGGTAGGGGCCTCCTTAAACATGAATTTATTTTACATACAGATTTTTTTCATTGACTATTGAAAAATAGAGTTATCTGCTATAATTTCCTGTTAAAGTTTATTGAAAATGATGACATTTTTAAAAGATGACACCCTAGAAAACTTAACTGACATTGCAGAAAGTACAAGTATTTGTGACATTTAGTCCTGTTAACAGATTGTTTTTTATATCTTGTGGGAATTTGTGACATAATAAAATACATCCACAGCTGTATTCATAACATTTAAAATTATGTTTAAAATGAACATGATTTGTCTCCCCATTCTGATGTTAATTAGCATGAAAATTACTGTAATAGTCTTTATTTCATTTTTTTCTAGGATATTCTCTCTCTCTGTCTCTGTCTCTCTCTCTGTCTCTGCCTCTCTCTGTCTGTCTCTGTCTCTCTTTTGGTATCAGGAATCAAACTGAGGACCTTGTGCTTGACAGGCAGGCCCTATGCCACTGAGCTATATCCCTGACCCTTTTCTGGATTCCTTATAATCTGTTGTAATATAGTTACTAGAAAGAAAAAGTATTTGGGATATGTATTTTTACTAAATCATAGTAGATAGTTCTTTCACACTTGTTCAAGTAGTTTGAAATATAGAAAATTAAGTATCATGCAAGTACATGAGACAGTGTTTGGTTTTTTTCTTCCTTTGTCAATTTAAATTTTAAAAATTGTGGTAGAAGCAGTATATTTTTAACATGAAAAACCTACCTCAGTTAGATGCAGTTTGTGTTTTCTGGAGTAATCTGAATTTCTATAATTAGAAATTAATACATAAAAGTTTGAGTCCATCTTTAATTTTTGAAAATAATACAAGTCAGTGTAATAGAACAGTCCATATGCTCAGCACCATAAAACAACACAGCAGAGACCTTAGACTTGAGAATTGATTTGATGTGATAAACAATCTCCTCATGTACAATGGTAGTCATTTTTCTTATAATTTGTATATCAGTGTGTAGTAAGTTACATGTAGTGTTGGCATTTATTCATGATTTTGTTAACTTGTTCCAAGATTAAGGTACATGTTTTCATTTGATTTCATAAGATAACCAAATAGCCTTTCATTAGAAGAAATATATTAAATGAGAGCAAATTGACATTTCAAGAGTCAGAACTTTAAACAGTAAATTAAAATTAGTATTACACATTTTCATATTGTATCTGTACCAATTTTAATGTGTAACAATAAAGCTTGACTTCTTTTGCAATATGTTTATAGAGAACATCTTGTTGACTAGAATGTTAATTTAAATTGCTTATCTAAGAACTAGTATTTTGTTCCATTAAACTCAAGCACATATACAAAGGCATCTCCTCCCCATGCTTTTCAGTTTCTCTTGATGTACAGAGGTTGGTTTTGTTCTGTTTAAAGACTTGAACCTTATATAAGAAAACCTGAGCCCATATTGTCTTTCTTAACTAAGTCTCATAGAATATAAATTCATACAGTATGTACATGGGGTTTATGTTAAATTGTCATAACCTGTTTCAGCAAGTATTTATTAATCATGGGTATACTGTTACAGGTATTATAGAAATTTTAAGCAAATGGACATGGACTAGTTCTTCACTTAGCAGTGTATCAGTAGTACAAAGTGTAGTCATTAGCCTGCTTAATCTGAGTAGTTCCCTCAAAAGTACTTTTTTGGTAATAAACTTATACCATTGTATTTTAGATCGAGTTATTAGGTAATTGTTTAGTTTGTTGGAACACTTACTGAACAGTGGAAGCAAGGAAGTGATGTATGTTAGGAAGGTACCTTACCATATTTTTAAGATAATTACGCTTTAGGAAAAGGACAAGTGATAGTGAAGTAATAAGTTCAGTGTGTGTTAAATGCACCAAGCTGTTCATAATGTTTGTATGTGTTTCAAATTAGTATTTCTGTATACATTATTAATTATTGGGGTTTTTTAAGGCATTTAAGCCTCTTCTACTCTAAAGTGTGTATACTGGCTGTTTCTCTGGTAGTAATACCATGTTAGTGGTGATCACTTGATTAAGTACCTGTGTTTTGTTTTGTTTTCCCTTCTGGATACCAGATGAGGTATATGTTACATTTTGTTGAACTTTTTTTTTTTTTTTTTTTAAGATTTGGCTGTGGTATGTGGAGTTTTTATTTTCATGGATTTGATTTTTCTAAATTTAAGAAGTAGCTGTTGCTACCGGTGAAGACCATATGAAAGCTAGAATTTACTGTTTTTTTTTTTTTTTTTTGAAAAAATTAGTTCATTCAGATAACCTAAATATTTATGCAGAAAACATCTGGATGATTTATTGAACTCATTAGTATTGTGTGGACAACTTTGATCATTCCCATTGCATAGGTTTTTGTTGTGGAATAGTCAGCTTCATATGGGTTCACTTTTAATATGCTTGGCATGTAAAAAATAAACACTCAATAAAAAGTAAGTTTTCATTTATTTTTCAATACTGTTTTTTTTCTTCCTTGTACTATTGGTGAAATCTGATGCATGAGTTTTACTTCTGAAATTAAAGGGCAGTGATAATCTAATTGATTTACATGTTTTGTACAGAAACAGTACGTAGCACTTTAAGAATTTTGGCTTTGTTATTTTGAAAGGAATATTTTAAGTAACAATAATACAGTATTAAGGTCTGACTACACTAGGGGAGACTTCTTGAATAACGCATTACACATATGTTCAACCAAACCTAAAGTTTTGTTTCTTTGTTTTAAAAACTACCAAATATGCAAGCAGGCAGTCGTGAGTTCGATCCGTGGTGCCGATAAAAACAAAAAAGACAAAAAAAAAAAAACCAAAAAACTACCAAATAACTTCATTTAAAGTTGGAACTATTACCAACTGTATCAGATGGTGTTTAAAGAATTTCAGATCCTTCATAGTTTGAAAAAGATAACTAGGAGACTAGGAATATATATATATATCACACACATTTTTAAGCAAATGGCTTACATAATCATTTGTCTAATGTGTCATTCTTTACATACCTGCATAAACTAAACTTTTTTACTTCTAGAACTCAGTAATGTCAAAAAAGTGAATGAACCTCCTTATTAGTTTAATATTTCCAGTCCTCCTATAGGAACATTTTTTTTTACAAGCCAATTGGGAAAAAAAAGGTTGTAAGATTTCAATGTCTTCATTAAAGCTGAAACCCTTTATTATATACTGTGTTAGATCTCTATTTTTTCCTTCTGATACACTTGTTTGTATGTACATGTATACACACATATTATCAGCAGCTTACCCTTCCAATGTCTATTCTTCATCCTCCCAAAGGTTACACTTTATTTTTGATCACCTTGTGAAAAAAAATATAATGTTGGACTTTAATGTTAAAGGAAGGGTAAATAGGACTGGTTATAATATACTTTAGAGTACATTGATTTTTTTTATGTCTAGCCAGATAAAAGAAAGTTAGAAAGGAAAACTTTGTTTTTAAGCCTATACCAGATGCATAATTTTACTCCCACTTTCAAAAAACTTGTAGAACCATAACCTGTGCATGTATGCATGTATGTGTATGTTTCCAGGAATTGAACGTAGGCCTTCAAGGCATGCTAGGTAAGTGTTCTGCCACTGATCTTCTTCCTTAGGTATCATAATGCTTTTAAATAAAGGAAAAAATTTGTGTCCAGTAATTTGAGCCAATTAAAGAGAGTCAGTTGAGTTGGGTGTGATGGCTTATACCTGTAATTCCAGCAGTGAGAGACTGTGACCGGAGAATTGCCTTTTTTAGTTCAAGGTCGTTGTGGACTATGTAGTGAGATTAAAACCAACCCGAACTACATAACAAAATTCTGAGAAAAAAAAAATTTACTTTAACATATGTACTACTAAACACTGAATTTTGTACATATGAATAATAAGATTTTTGATTGCAATATGTTTTTTATGTTAAAATACGCTGTTACTCATGTTGGTTTCTATCTCTGTTTATAGACATGCTATGAGACACCAAAGTTGCAATCTTTGCAATATATTACTGATACGTACATTCCTTTAAATGTAAACTGCTTATTGTAGTTAAGTAAGGATAATGTCTAGTGGATATTTCAGCTTTTATGAAGCTGAATTATGAATAGAATTCGCTTTTATGAAGCGAATTATGAATAGAAAAATAATTTGTTACCGTTTTTATGCACAAGTGTAAATTATGCTGTTGTAGGAAATCCATAGTGAAGAATAAAACACTACCAGTAATACTGAGAAGAACTGAAAGTTTATTAACTTTCTTGACAGTTTCATAATTCAGGATAATAAACAGCATCACTAACAAAATTATTCAAATCATATTCTTACTATGATCTAAATCAGTGAGTGATTTGTTTGTGTTTTTGTCTTTGTTTCATGTGACAAGGTTTCACTTTGTAATCCAGACGGGCCTTGCACTCACTGTAACCAAGGGTGACCTCAAACTCAGCAATCCTTCTGCCTTAGCCTCTTGAGTGCTGGAATTACAGGTGTGCACGAGCACACCCAACTTAATTTTATTTTGTTGGAATGAATAAATACACACTTTGGAAGTGCTAATTGGTAATCATAGGAGATCTATAAAGACCTCTTATAACCTTGTGGAGATTAGTATGCTTTAGATACAGCACTCAGGTAATAGTTTAAGTATAATATCTTTAAGATAGCACCAAGTAATTACTAATTCAGTACCATAAGTGCCTCACTGATGTAGGTAATATGCTAGGTGATTTATATGTTATCTTATTATTTAAAGACCCATGGATTGTACATTTTGGAAGGCCAATTTACCTAGTGTCCCAAAGCTAGTCTATGACTCTGAAAAACACAGACTTATCCTGAAAGACTCATTTTTGTGTGGCATAATTGTTGTACTAACCTTTTTTTTATGGTACTGGGGATTGAACTCATGACCTCACGCTTGCCAGGCAGGCGCTTATGCCACTGAGCTATATCCCCTGCCCGTGTACTAATTATTTGTAGTGTATCTCAAAGTTTTTCCTACACTACTAATTAGTATTATCTTCACTTAATAACCTCTTAGAACTTCTAGCCAGACATTGTGGCCCAAACCTGTAATTCCAGTACTTGAGAATCTGAGGCAAGAATATTACTATGATTTCAAAACCAGCCTGAAATATATAGTAAGCCCTTGTTTAAAAAAGCAAAAGAAAATTCTTTGGCCCCAAACAATACCTGAGTCAGAATCTGAGCATGAGGCCCCAGCAGTCTGTGTTTGAATAAATACTTAAAGTAACTCTGAGGTGCAAGTCAAAAACTTTCAAATTCTTTCAAATCCATTTCTTTGTTAAAAATTTTTTTGAGATAGGGTCTCACCGTGTGATAACCCAGGCTGCCTTCAGACTCATGATCCTCGTGCCTCGGTCTTGCATTGTTGGAATTGTTAGTGTGTGCATATGGTTGGTTGCATTCTGTTTTTTAAAATGAAGATCTTTGTGGACATTGTATCATTGTTTAAATAATATAATGTGAACTGGCTTTTAAAACAACCCCTGGTCTTCTCATTACAAAAGGTGGTATCAGTAAAACCACAAGCATAGACGTTGGCAGCTTGACATAACCCGTGTTGGAACTGAAATAGATTTTTAAATCCAAGACACTCTGGAATAAAATTTTTGTTCCATGTTAAGGTTCATCTCTGTTACTACTTGAAGAATTTTGGTAATAATAAAGTGGCCACTGTGTATGTATATATTTTTTGGGGGGGGGGTCAAATTTTAGCCCTTGATTGGAACAAATGTATGTTTCGTCAGTTATAGGGTTTTCTTGTTTACTTGTTTAGGCTCTATGGGACAGTCTATAAAGAGTCTTAATGAGTTACTCTTTGAGTTTAGAAAAAAATAATTGGTACTTTGTAGCTAATGGATTAGTGGGGAGGAATCAACTTGTATCTTAACTAAAAATTAAGATGATTCAGAATTTTTAAATGTATGACAGCTTTTAAACTTTTTTAAAAAAGCATTAGAATAGTTTCAGAGTTAGAGAATTATTGTGAAGATAGTACAGAGTTCTTATATTCCCCTATACCATTTCCCCTATTCTTAACATAATAGTATTACACAGTTTTTACAATTTTTGAGCCAATATTGAAATTGGCTGACAGCAGTACTGGGGATTGAACCTAGGGCTTTCACACTAAGCTGTGGACCCAGCCCTTTTTAGTTTTTTTGAAGGAGATCTTAACTAAATTGCCTAAACTGGGCCCAAGCTCACAAAAATCCTTCCTCAGCATCCCAAAGCACTGGAATTAAAGGTATGTGCCACCATTTCTGCTGATAATTTAAAAGCCTGTATTTTATTTATATTTCCACAGTTTTTCCCTAATGTTCTTTTCCTGTTACAGAATCTTGTTACAAATTACACTTACTTATTAGGTCTTCTTTTGACCCTTTTGGCTACCACAGTGTTTCAATCTTTGCTTGCTTTTGATGCCCTAGACAGTTTCCAATACTGGTCTGGTATTTTTTACATTTTCCTATGGATGTTTCAGATACACACAAAAACAGAGAAAATACCATCTTCATGGTAGTACTCAGTCTATTCCCCTTTTTGCTGGTATTTTTAAAAGTTAATTGCAATCCTATCATTTCACCTATAAATAATTTAGTACACATCTCTAATAATGAGAACTTAAAAAATAACCACATTATGCCTGAGAAAAATTAATAGTAAATCCTTAATCATTAGTTGAGTTGGGGTTCTCTAGGAAGCAGAAATCCCATGAGGTTCCCTGGGGAAAAGTTTTTAGAAGAAAGTTGGAGAGGGAACTAGGGAAGATTGAAAAGAATTTGTCAGAACTTAGTAGAGGGTTAACTCGAGTGAGGAAGAGCAAATGATTGGGCAGGAAGTCCGAATCCACAGAGAAGATCTTAAGACAACCTGAGCAAGGCTAATGAGTCCTCTAGCCAAAGGCACCTATTCCTTGAGTAGCTGCACATCTTGACTGGACCTTTCCTTGTATTTTGGCGATGTTCTTTTGTTGGCTTCGAGCATCCACTAAGAACTGTAGCTAGCTGAAAGTACTGGTGTTAAATTCAGACCACAGCAACTGTCAGTAAAGTGACTCACCCTGCAGGTGGATAGCTGAGAATCTGTATGTATCTACTATACTTTGTGTTCAGATTTACCCCAGATACTTGTCACCTGTCTGTTGGTTTGTTCTAATGTGGATCCAAATGAGATCTTTTTAACCTTAGAGTTCTCATGCCATTTTTATGCCACTTTTTAAGTTATGGAAAATCATTTGTTCTACAGAATTTCCTTCATTCTAGGTTTGACTGATTGTATCTTTGTGGTGATATGTCTCTCTGCAACCACCTACTTTTTCTGAATTGTTAATATAGACGTTTTCTAGATTAGATGAGTGTGTACTTCCTCCTGAATCCAACCAAAAGGCATGTAATGTCGTTTTATTTTTAAAGATAGATTGATTAGTAGGTTCAGATGATATTAGCTTGATTGTGTAATTCTTCTTTAGTCTTATATAATGGATCGAACTGGGAATGAAACTCGGGACCTTTGCTTGCCAAGCAAACATGAGTTGTGTATATATCTATCTCCAGTCCCAGTCTTATATAATGGATATAGCAAACATTGATTGTCCATTATATCATTAGGTGTTGCAAAGTGAGCTTTCTAATGCTATCATTCAGTTAACTTTAGTTTAAAAAAATTTAAAACACTTTATCAAACTATTTGGTTTTCTTAAAGTACAAGATAAGATCATATTGATTGTTTTGTTTACCAATTTTACCATCCAGAACCAGTGCCTTGGTAGCCTCCAAAGAAACAAGTCATGAGTTTGTAGTCTTTATAGTCATAATTTTTGTTATGTCCAAATTCTGTAATTTTTGACCAATGAGAGACACTTCATATTAGCTTTTGTATCCTTTTGGTTATTGATACTTGTTGTCAGGAAAAGATGTTGCAATCTTACATATTTCCTTTTCAAAATGTGGAATCAAGAGCTATCTTGGGTAGAAAATTAAAGCCTTGATAACTAAATTATCAGGTAATGTAAAAATCAGAAAACATTAATGATGCTCATTTTTTTGGTGCCAGGACTTTTTGCTTGTCAGGCAGGTACTGTACCACTGAGCCATATCCTAGCCCCATTAGTGGTGTTCTTAATATATGTTTTCTGATTTGTCCTTTCATGGGAAATGTTCAAAGATGACAAAGTTTTAAACTTTTTCATTGTAAATAACAGGTAATATATACGGTATATTGATCTTTCTTTGAAAATTAAGTTTATTCATGCCTATTGGGAATCTCAGGAGACTGATTATAAAAGTCAAGATTTTTTTTTTTTTGTTTGAGTAGTTAAAAGCATTATAAAGTTGTATTCAAAGAGCCAGAAATAGTTCAGTGGCACAAGCAGCTTCCTGGCAGGCATGAGATCGTGAGTTTGAGTCCTGATGCCAAAAAGAGACAGAAGGAGCGAGGGAGAGGTGGAAAGAGGGAGGAAGAAAGGAAAGTTGTATTTAAACTAGGTTGTTGCCACTGTGTAGAAATGTATATATATCAAGTGCCCTCATTAAAACATGACTCAATTTCATAGTATGGGTTTTAATAGAGACTAAGGACATTTGAATGATTATCTGTGCAGAGGTAACGGCCTCTTGTACAGCTGGTTGTAAGGCAGGCCTGGTAAATAATGAGTGTTGGATGGTGACTGTTATGGTTTGTGTCTAAGTGGCCCCCCAAAGCCTCATGCCGTCATAGAGGTGGCTGAATCTAGCATTGTGATTGGTTTGTTGTCTGGCTCTGGAATTGCCCGTGTGACTGTTGCACCTATTTTTTCCTTTTTTGCTCTTGCTGTTTGTGGCTGCCATGGATAGTAGCCCTTCAGCAATGCTACCCTGTCTTCGAACCAACTGAATATGGGCTGAAATCTCCAAAAACTGTAAGCTAAATAAACCTCTCTTTCCCCCATTTTGGGTGTCAGGTATTGTGTCTGAACAGCTAGAGAAAAGTAACCAAGACAGTGGAAAACTGGATTGTGAAGTTGACCCTGTGACTCATCAAGTCACCAAAGATTCTCTCCAGTGCTTAAATAAAGCCATCACCAAGGGAACTACCTGAGAGTACTGGCAAAATCCTTCCTCTCCTGCCTCTAATATCTCCATCCAGAAAGGATCCACTATTTTTTTCCAGAATGTGAAAACTACCTCTAGCTTAGAATTCTTGCATTTTGCATCTTGTATTTGTTCACAAATGTACATTATTTTAGCTTTTTTCTGGGCTCAGTTTTCTTAGTGGGCTAATAGAAGTGTGACACAAGACTGAAGAATATTCCTTCTCCATGCCCCCTCCATTCTTTTATCCTTTTCCAAAGATGAGAATTGAAATCATTTTTGAGATGGCACCTGACATAGGCCATAGTTTGTGTTTTTAAGAGTCATGTTGTTTGGCCTATTGTTCAAAGTCCTAATCTTTAGAAATTGAGATTGGCTAGGAATTTGGAGTACAAATTTATGTTTCCATTAATTGAACTTGTGTCCCCAGATTCTTATATATCTGTCCAGAAGACATGTTTTTAATGGCCATTACTGTTAAATCATCAGTGGGGTTCATAGCCCCACATTTCCAGTGCATTCTGATCCACTGAAGCATAGACAATGTGTTAAGTCTGTAATGGGTCTCTTAGTATTTGTTCACACTGCTCATAAAAATTCCCAAAGCCACTCATGGTTAACTCTTTTCTTGTATTATTCTGACCTGAGTTTTGCAATTGAGGTGGAACTAAGTAGCGTAATACATTATATATGTCCTTAATATGTAGTTACTTGAGAAACACCCCTACCATGGTTAAAATAATTTCATCTTTTAATTTTTTTGTAATTGGTCATGACACTTTATACTTTTGTATACTTTTGATTCTTGTCAAAAGATTTATTTTGAGAGGGAAGCACATATTTGGGGAATTAGATCCAGTTGGATGATTTATCAACATTTCATTTAAAACAGAAGGGGTTTTTATACCTGGATTTTTAAAAGTTCTTAATAGCAATTTAAATTTTTAAGGACTTTTACTTCTTTAGGATACTAGAGGAGATTCTGTTACTTGGTCTGAAATGGACTCATTTATACATTTTCCTGGCTATTAAAGAGCTGATTATGATATCTCTTTGCAAAGAGGGAAGCAAGGCTGAGGCAGGTGTTTTATTTACTTTGGGTTACACAATAAAAACAATCAGATATCTGTCAGTAAAAATAAGATTAGTGTGCAACCAAGTCTTTTTACAATGAAAGTTAGAGGTACACTGTAAGATACATAAAGTTATAAAAATTGTTTAGAGCAGAGTAGAAATTTTATCCTTGCTACTTTAGAACATGGTTTCAGTTTAATGTTACAAGCAACAGTTGGGGTAATGTTTCTTTACATATGATAGTTCCTCTACCCTTGCATTGGAATCAATTGGAGTAAATAGAATTATTTAGATGAAACAGAATGAGAGGAGAAATTAGATCCTTAAAGGAGTTAGAGTGAAGTCTTCAGGGTATAGCACTTAAAACATTGCTTTGAAAGAATGGGAGTGGGAGTTGGGATTAGGAAAATGTATTAAACATCTGATGAAATATATGGTATTAAAGCTAAGTGGTGTGTTATGTTTATGCTTCCTTGTTTGTCTGTCACCTAATAAAAATTTGGTGGCTTCAAAGTTTAAACGCACCAGCTTCCGAACTAGATACACTTGAATTAAAATACATTTTTGCCACCGCTAGTTTTGTGACCTTGGACAGATTGCTTTATATGTACTTAACTACAAGGACAGGAGAATGTCTAACCTTGTGTCTTGATGAAGAATAAATAACATCATGTAAATTAGGTGACAGTGCATACACAAACTATGCAATTTTTTCAGTGAAGAAGTTGAAAACATGATGATTGTCTTTCCTAAAATTGATTATAGATTTCTTGATTTGTAATAAAACTGCCTTCTTGACCTAGATTTCTGCTTTTTTAGGAAATCTCCTTAGAAACCTATGTGAAATAAATGAGAACTTCCTTTAAAAAAATGCAGTGTATTCACATAGATGTAGTATAATCTTTAGCCCCCAATAAATTGTAGCCAGTCAAGAAATAGTAAGCATGGTTCTGGGTGAAGGAAAACATCTTTGAGAGTGCGCGTTTTGAGCTACTCAAAGTATTCCCTAGTTAAGTTTTCTTCCCTTCAGATCCCCAAGGCTTGACGTGGGTCTAATGTCCTATGAATTGTCTGTGCCTGGATTTATAAATATATTCCAAGGCATTTGATTAGCTAAGATAATACTGAAACTGAACAAACTGGGTCAATTAGCTGTAACTCATCTGAGTTGCCAACAATCCAATTTCTCTACCATCTTTTTTCACTGACTGATTACTAGTGACTAGTATTTCCTGATAGAGAACAAGGAGCATACGAGAGCCATGGATTGTCTATTGAGCTGTTCCTTTATAACAAGAAGCAGTTTTAGCTGCTATAAAGCAGTTAAATAGGATGACAATTTATAGGTGTTGGCACTAGCAATGATTCCTGTTGCTATGGCAAAAGACCACAGGAGTGCTTGAAAAAGTCTAGAACAAAACATTTTTCTGCTGAAGTTTTCATGTTTGAAAGTAATGTTTGCTTTTTTACTTTGAAAGATCTCTGAATGGAATGTAAATAATTTACTTGTCCAGTTACTTATACTAGTGTGAAAGTATATACACATGTGAATTCTTTTGTGTTATATTTTCTTACATACATCAGATCTTGCATGTTGTTAGACATCACAAATCTCATGAATATGTGCTACTAGGACAGAACTCTCTACATGGCTCATATACTTACAATCTTATGAAATAAAAGTTTAATCCCTGTTTAAGTTCAGAAATAGTAGTAATCCTCCATAAATGACTGAATAAAAAAATTAAAATGGGCATTAGAATCTTTTCAACTGAAGTTTCAATGTGAAACTTCAATTTAATTTGGTAAGGATTACCAAATAGAGATTTAAAAGAGATGTGTTTTCTGAACAGCTAAAAAGTGACTGAGTGTAAGCCATTATACACGAAAAAACATGAGAAAGGAATCTTTTAAAATATTGTTCCCTGAGCCAGGGATTTAGTTCAGTGGTGTAAGCACCTTGCTGGCAAGCGCAAGGTATGAGTTGGATCTTTGGTACGCCCCCCCCAAAAAAATATTGTTCCCCACTGAAAAAACTTTGTCCAAGGAATAAAAGCTGTTCCTTAAATAGTGAAGTGTTACTGCGGTAACATTGCCTAGAAATAAAGCCAGCAACATCCCTTTTGTCTTCCCAATTGCACCTTTTCTGATACTTGTGGCAGGACTGATTGGTAGGCAAGAGCATTGTAAGACTGTCAGCAAAGAGTACAGAACTAATTGGTGTTTGGTTTCTGAACACCTGCCTTTTCAAAAGTGCCAGGGAAGTATTCAGGTATCTGTTGAAGAAATGAATACAAGAATAAGTGAGAAACTTTGGAAACTAAACTTAACCTGACTGGTGCATTTTAAATTTTGCAATTTTTAGAAAGTTACTTTATATGCCTATAAGTAGAGTTCAATAATATCTACCACATAAGGTACTTAGAGTTTGTTAAATATTTGAATTAAGCAACAGATCAAACTGAAAAATACTAAGTCAAATTCTCTGGAGTGTAGGGCCTAAAGATTTGTTCTTTTTACAGGACTCGTGGTTTTTATGTGCCGAAAGTTTGAAAATTACTGATTTAAATTGCTGTTGGGTGGCAGGGCACTATGTTAGCTGTTCAAGTTAGTACTGAAACGAATCAAACTTTCTTTACAGTAAATTTGAATAGACATAATAAACACAAAGAAAAGATGTGAATAAACAAAGAATAGATTGATCCTGGAATGATGAACAAGATAACATTTGTTAAGAATTATAATTGTTTTCTTAGAAGTATCTAAAACAGTATCTACCACATGATAAGTCAGAATGTATTTCCTCATGCGCTCTGTCTACCCACTTTATGTGTTTCTTCCTAATCTGTAAGGACTGTTTCTGTAGTTTTCAATAGCTCTTTAGTCAGTTTATACATTTCCGTGGATGACTACCTTTTCTGAAAGATTTTTGATTTTTAAAAATTTTAATCATGTATAATGATGGAGTTTTCACAAGTGTGTGCTTCTGTTTTCTCTCTCTCTTGCTCTGGCTCTATTTTGGGGGGACAAGGTCTCACTATGCAGTTCAGGCTGGCCTCAAACTTAGAAGGATCTTTCTGCCTCAGCCTCCAAAGTGCTGGGATTACAGGCATGCGCCACCATGCCCAGCCTTTGTTTTTAACAAGTAATTTATCGATTTTCTCATTTTTATTGGGTAACTCTGGCTGTAAATTTTTTTCATGAATTGTTACTGTAAACTCATTTTGTACCTTGTAGTTGTATCCTGGTATTCATTGCGTGAAGAAACTATTTTCTAGGCTGTAAAAATCCATTTACTTAACTTGCACTTATTCAGACTCAGGTTTCTGTGACTTGTAAATTATCCTGGTACTTTGCTTTTGCTTTTCTACAGCTTTCTGTTGTTACTTTGCTTATTAAGCATCATTAGAGGAAGAAAAAGCAGCAGATATAGTAAAGATTAGCATGGGAACTGAGTTTTAGCTAAAGTAAGGCTCTCCTCATTTTGTTGATTTTTAAGAGTATGTCACAGTTCGTTCTTGTTAGCAGAGGTGTGACCTAATGATCCTGGCATGGTTAGGATATTGATCAGAGATTTTGACCTCTGATCCTGGTACTAACTTACTGTGAAACTTGTGCAGACCTATCGGTTGGTTGTGTAACATGTGAAATACTTACATAATTGTGATTCATGATCCGAGGGGATGTCAGTAAAAGAAACTTAAGGAATTTACTGAATGTGAACACAGTATTCTACGTACTAAACAAGAAAGCTTAAAAAAATGCCTTGTCAAGATGCTACTT